CCGGTGATTTTACTTAATTAAGTTACAAATTGTTACTTGAGTATAAAATGTTGCTTAATAAGGTCTATTTTCTCAAAAAAAAACATTCGCTAAACTCGAATCAATAGGGTAGTTGCCTAAATTTTATTATAATGTCCGTCTAATAGATTAATTTAAAACATTAGACACTTTTTTTCTTTTCTCGCAAAATTAAATACTTTCGACGATATATTATTATATTGATTTGAAATATTGTATGACGTCACAATGTGCGTTATTGTACATTTTGTAGCAAATTGTGACGTAACGACTCCCACTCCTAAACTTAACTCTGTTTTATCTGAGTATTGTTTTCTTATACGAGAAAATAAAAAAATGTTTAATATTTTTTCATTATCTAAGTGACTGAAAGACGAATTAAATTTGTATATTTCATACACTGTATACTACCCTATAACAAGTGTGTGTTATTCCGATTCTTAGATTGTATTAGGTCATTCACGTCGCCGTAATAAACGTTTGACTTCCATAATGGAGGTAGTTGTAGAACATTAGATAATATTGTATGGTCATCAAGATTAAGAGTGTGTACCAAATATCAGATCGATCTGTCATTGCCAATTCAATACTTATTTCGAACTGTCAAAAACGACAGTTTTCTTTGAATTTTGTACGAGATTGTCGAAATTGTGACGTCACGTTTTTTGGCGTCAAAAGCATACTTATTTCTTAGTTGGTCATAAAATCAATTAATGAAAGTGTGTTTTTTTAATAATTTATTGTATTGAACAGTCGAAATAATTTATTTTTAATTAACCCGTCGTATGCCGGAACGTAGATCTACGCGAGACATAATGCATTTTCTATTGTGTCTTATATACCGGCAGTCAAGCGGTTAAGGAAAGTGCCCAAATTATTAAATTTGACCCAAGCAAGCAAATGGGGTATTACATAAACCGTATAATAAATAAAAAACGATCTTATGCAACAGACTTAAGGTTGAGATCGGTTAATTTCGGTCGTCAAACTACATTTACGCTAAGTTTAAATTAAGTATATATCGCCAGATCAGAGAATTTAAATTGCTGGTGTTTAATTGGTGGCTTGTTCGTCCGCGAGTCACTTAAGATGCAAAATACACAGTAGCGATGAATAATTCGGATACGATGCGGATGAGTGACGAATGACAGACGGATACGGCACCGATGCGACTTAACTCGTCGAGTACCGTCATTATAGACACAATTAAAGAACAATAGGTTGCGGTCACCGGTGCAAATAAACTGTCTTTCTTCCTTTCTCCTTCTTTCTCATACATTTTGTACGAATAAAATTTGACATAACATAACATAACATCACGCCTTTTATCCCCGAAGGGGTAGGCAGAGGTGTACATTATGCCACTGTACAATGTAACACCCACTTTTCACTATTTATGTTATGAGTCCCATGTAATAGGGGGTGAGCCTATTGCCATATACCGGGCACAGTTCCAGACTCCGTGCTACTACTGGGAATTTTTTGAAAAACCCAGTAATACTTTGCCCGACCCGGGAATCGTACCCGAGACGCTTGCCCGGCAGTCGCACTTGCGTCCACTCGAACAATGAGGCATAATAAAATTTGAAGCGATAACAAATTCGATCCTCATCTACATCGTATCTAAATATTTCATTGCGTCTGTGTATTTTACTCCTAAGGAGCCAGTAGAATATCAGCGCAAGGCCCTGCCTTGCACGTGCTGAACTGGTCCCATTTCGCGGCAGACTTGGGACATGAACATGTATCCATCAGCACCCACTAATAGTCAAACACATCTATGCATGTCACTTCTTTTTACCGTGTGAAATAAAGTTTCATTTCTTCTTCTTTCTTCTTTTCTTTCTTTCTTTCTTTCATTTTCTTTCATTCGTTATCAGACCAATTACAATTTATAATATGTATTTTATTGTATTTGATT